GAAATCAGGGTGTTCAGTTCTTAAATCATAAAAAGGCTGCTGAGGACACCAGAGCAGAGATCACTGCCTGGGCACTCACAACCAATTCTAAAGAAAAAACATAAGGGCCATAGCCACTACGCACATAAACATCATTCGTACATGAACGCACCGCATGCTCATTGCCAGAATTCCTCAACATATAGATACATCCCTAAAGCTTGCACCTACTGTTAGAAGGGAGAAAGAGGATTGTTGGAATAGTCTTTGTATTGCTTGAGCCTCGTGGGCATATATATAGGAGTACATGATCATCTTGGAGTACAAGACAAGACAGGACAAATCCTAGTCTATCTTATGTTTCCTAAAGAATCAATATACTCAACATCCCCCCGCAGTCACAACGGTAGCGACGCAGACGATGAGACTGGAGAAGAATCCGAAGGCAAGCCGACGGACACCCCCCCTCCCCCACAGCCGTAACAGTCGATGCATCGCGGAGTTCTGGCTGGAGTGAAAACCGACGAGGTTGCTCAAGCAGGCGGTAGCCCTTTGTGTCGTTTGTCGATGTAGCCGAGAGTGTGGGTGGTGGAGCCGTGGTCGAGGTAGCCGTGCGAAGAATGTCGTGGTCGATGTCGAGTCGGGGTAGCTGGTGTCGAGGAAGTCGCCGTGGAGCCGCGGGCGCAAGGAGGCGCCGAGTTAGTCGTGGGCGCAGTGGTGTCGAAGTAGTGGTGCGCCAGGAAGGAGATGATGTTGACAACGCGGCGCGCCGGGGTTGCCAACCCCGGGGACACATCGTAGACGAAGGCACGCGTTGGTGTTGCCAGCACCGGGCATGCGTAGACGGACAAAGACGAAGTTGACGAAGCACCGCACCAGGCTTGCCGGGCCCGGGGACACGTCGTGGACGAAGGCACGCGACGGTGTTGCCAGCACCGGGCATGCGTGGACTGGGACCTGCACGAGCTGTTCGCCATGTCGAAGAAGTCGGAAAGGCCAGCAGAGAAGGACTCGACGATGGTTGCGGCGCCAATCGGCGGGGCCAATGTTGCCCGTGGTTGTCGGAGTAGATGAAGCGGTTGGGGTAGATGACGGCGACGCTGGCGACGGGCTGGTGCTGGGTGAAGACGAATGGGGTGGACAGGCGGTGGTGGCTACGGGGGTAGCGGCGGCGGCGGCAGAAGAAGAGCGGCGGCAGCGGCCTGACGGCGGCGGCGGCGGCTAGGTTAGGAGCGCGGCGGTGGTGCTCGAAGTAGGCGAAGAACCCGACAGCGTGACGAAGACCGGCGCGGACGGTGGCGTTCCCACGCCAAAGGAGGTGGTGCGGCGCATGCCACAGGAAGTCGACGCGCGGGGACGGCGGTGGACCGCGGACCGCGGCGCTACGGCCCGAAGGGGCGACGCAGCGGCGGCGGGCAGGTCGGGGCGACGACAGAAGACCTCGGGACGGTGACAGGGACCGCGGGCCGCGGTGCTACAGCCCGAAGGGGCGGCACAGCGGCGGAGCGCGGGGTGGTGCAACCGCGTGGACGGCCTCGAGACGGCGGCGTGGACCGCGTGCCACGCTCGCTACGGCCCGACGGGTCGACGCAGCGGCGGCGCGAGGGTCAGTGCAGCCACGGGGACGGCCTGGAGCGGACGGCCTCGGGGCGGCGGTAGATCGCGGGCCGCGGCACTACGGCCCGAAGGGGCGACGCAGCGGTGACGCGGGTCGGTGCAATCGGGAGAAGAACCACGGGGCGGCGGCGCTGCGGTCCGACGGGGCGACGCAGCGGCAGCCCGTTGCTCGATCGGCGGAGGGGCGCGCTGAACTCGGAGACGATCTTCACGGGACCTGCGGAGGCGCGCGTAACTGACGGGCCAGGTCGGTCGCGCGGCGTAGATGAGGCGGATCGCGGCGGCGAGCGGGTGATCAAGCCGATCGCGCGCGAGGTCGGGGACGCCGCTCGGTGGAGGTGTGGTGGCGGCGGAGTCCAAGATGAAGCCGGCGGCGGCGGGCAACAGGGCGGCTATGATTGGCCGCCGCATGGCGCGAGGCCGCTGGGTCGGGGTGATGCAGGAGTCCCGGTCGGAGCAGGGCGGTGACGGCCGACGTAGAGCGATGGGCGGGCCGGCGCGCGGACGACGGCCTTGAGGGCTGCCTGTCACGCGAGGCCGCCGGGTCGGTGAAGAAGCCGGCCGGTTGCGCCGATGTCGGAGTAGAGGCGCGAGGTGTCGACGGCGGCGGTGGGTGACGCAAACTGATCAAGAAAAGATCGGAAAACCAAAAAATAGACGCCGATCAAAACGACCGACGAAAGAGAGAAAAATCCGGATCAAAGGATCGGGAAAAAGACTCTCTAGGGCAGCCGGCCAACACGGCCGGCGGACGAACCCTAGGTACGGGCGGCGCGGCCCCCGGCGGCGGTGATGGAGGCCGACCGCCCCGGGGGCGACGCGCAGGTGCGGAAGCGGCGGCGGCTAGGGTTTAGGATCGACTTGCGATAGATACCATGTTGGAAGGGAGAGAGAGGATTGGTGGAGTAGTCTTTGTATTGCTTGAGCCTCGTGGGCATATATATAGGAGTACATGATCATCTTGGAGTACAAGACAAGGCAGGACAAATCCTAGTCTATCTTATGTTTCCTAAAGAATCAATATACTCAACACCTACGATTATATCATGCAGAAAAAACTCCGAATCAGGAAGCAGGGAGAAGAAGTCATTACTTTCTAATACCCAATCCACTAGTGTAGAGACATGACATGTCGTTCATCTTGCATCCCAACGATGGGCACACAACAAAGGAGAGAAAAGACATAGGCCACCCTAGGTAGGTGTCTCAGCCAGGGTGGGGGTACATCACCAACAGAGGGTCTTGAGCTATCTGCTCTAGCTCTCTTGCCACATCTGCCAGCCGATCTTTTGCAACTCTCGAGCATAGCACCACCCGTTGAGATAGAGTTATGGCGAATTTTCGCCAAATCACCTGTATTCCCGAACAATGAGCACGATAAAGAACAACATCATTGCAAAGTTTCCACAACAACCACATTGTAGCTGCATGTGCCACATTCGCAGCACGATGATGTTATCACTGGCCCACTGGAAATATTTCTAAGTTAATCTCATGATTAAAATTAGTAAGTTCAGTAACAACACTCCACGACTTCAAAGTAACTGAACACTCAAAGAAGAGGTGACCACATATTTATGGTTCTGAGCAGAAAACACAGGTTTCTATAAAGTCAGATTGGTAGTAATTAAAAAGACCTCGCGAAAAAAAGTTGGTGACAAAAAGATGTTTGTTTATTTAAAAGACACTTGAACTAAAAAACCACAACACTTTTTTTAGTATGTTGCGTTAGCCGAGCCTTGAACTCAAGACCTCTTGGCTTCAATACCATGTAGTAATTCATTGCTTTAGCCAATGCGATCAAAAGACTAATCTTATTGAAGAGACTAGCCAATATATTTATACATCAACAACCACAATATTTATTTTGAAACGGAGGAAATAACTAGCTGGCCAGTAGAGGAAACGGGTTCAACCACAACACTTATGTTGGTTGTCCCACCCGACGAGGAAGTTATACGGGAAACAAGGCACCAACGAGACTCCCGAGCCCCAGGGCGCCCCCGCGGGCGACGGGGGCGGAACCTAGCGCGCAGCCGCAGGCCCCTCCCCTCCAGGCCCTCCTCCCCCGCCGCTGTCGGGCAAAGCCCGGCTGACGTGGGTGGCGGCGGGGATCTCGCTCCTCTCTGCTTGGGTCTTGGGCTGGCGCGGGACAGCCCTTCTCAGGTGGAGACGTAGGGCTGCCGCGGGGCTCCTCGGTGCAGTGGCGGGCAGGCAGGATGGCGACGTGTGCGTCCCAGGGCGGTGCGGTGGCGTGCTCCTGCTTCTCCAAGGTGCGGCGGTCGTGAGAGATTCGTCTCGAGCGGGAGCGTGCGGGCGGCGCACTGGCCATGTCCGCCCGGATCTGGCTCTATAGGCCTGTTCGTGGCGCGGGTGGTGGAGGAAGTACGGCTGGGCCTCTGCATGGTGCTGGGGCGCTGGTGGTGGCTAGGATCTGACCTCGGTACTGCGACGACGGCATTGTGGGTCTGGTCTCCGGTCAGATCTGATCTGGCCGGTGCGGCCTCCATGCACGGCGGCGGTGATCAGTGGCGGTCCCGTGCACACGATGCTGGATGGAGGGTCCTCGAACGTATCCGGGTGAAAATCTTACTCTTGGCACGTTCCCAAGGTCGGCAATGACGGCGTTTTTCTGCGTCGTCTCCTTCTTGAAGGCATCATCCTGGAGAAGGTCTAGACCCCTATCCACTACCTCCGGGAGAAACCCTAGATCAATCAATCATCTGACAGTGGCACTCATGTGTCGTACTCCACTTGAGGGCGTCATTCTTGGAGGTGTGCACAGGCTCAAGGGACCAGTGGGCGACATCTACGGTGGAGCAGTGTTCCCTGTGACGCATCGACGTCGTGGAGTCTCGGTGGCGAGGCGCAGCAAAGTCTCAGCGACGGATGTGTGATGACGAACGTGCGTAGGGAGGTGGCGCTATCTGGCGCGGTGGGGGCGTCGACGACACCCATGGCAAGGTCGATGCGCCAGTACCTACTCTGAAGATGGATTGATGGAAGACGGCGGCGACGATCTATAAGAGTGCGTCGGACCGGTTTGTGCCCCCAGACCTGGTATGTGGCTTGGTCGGGCCCTCCGGCATTAGATGTTAGGCTAGGTGAGAGATCTGGGTATTCGTCTCACACTTTCTGCACCCTTTCATCAATGGATAGGAGTAGCGACAGATGTTGCTAAGGTGGCGGCTTCAAAGATATTGATGTATTACTTTGTAAGGTCTTTGTGAATAATCAATAAAGTGGTTGCATGCATCTTTCAGATGCAGAGCCCGGAGGGTCATCCTCCTTTTTTAAGAAAAAACTGGGAACTGGGGGCCGGAGATTAATTCCATGACTTGCCCATATATGCAAGTGAGCGCGTGTGCGGTGCGGTTGCATTCGCTGACCCGAAAGATAAGAGCATGGAGCAGTCAAGCAAGGAAAACGGATTAATCCAGCGAGTCCCGGAGGAGTGCCTGACCACAGTCATCGGCCTGACCTCGCCGGCCGACGCCTGCCGCTCCGCTGTGGTGTCCGCCGGCTTCCGGTCAGCGGCGGACTCGGACGCCGTGTGGGAGCGGTTCCTGCCTCTGGACTGCGATGCCGTCCTGGAGCGAGCGGTCCACTTCGTGGATTCCTCCTCCAGGAAGGAGCTCTTCATGGATCTCAGCGACGAGCACGTCCTCCTCGACGACGGCAAAAGGGTGAGTGCTAATTTTCCTGATGCTAAGACGACAAAAAGGTAGATCATCGATTTGTTCGTCGTTTTCTCTGAGCTAGTAGTGATTAATCGATTGGATACATACATGGCTTCTAACGATCTGGTTAATGTACATATATCTATGTGTTAGAGTTTCGGGCTCCAGCGATCGAGTGGCGCCAAATGCTACATGTTATCTGTGAGGGAGATGGCAATCGCTTGGGTTAAAATAGATCTTTACTGGAGAGAGAGGTCGGACCCAGATTCGAGGTAATTCATTCCCATGTACTAGAAGAATTCCTTTTTCTTTAGAAGTCTATGTACAGGAATTCTACTGCACCACATAAACAAGGCTATATATAATACTACTCTAGATTTTTGTTATTGCGTCAGTCACTTCCTTCCTTCTTCCCAACCTTGCTGGAGAAGAATCAGCCCCACTATCTATGCTAGGGAAAAGTCATAGTCTCATCATCTATCTATCTTAGGGGAAAGCTAAGTCACAACCCCATTATCCATCTTAGGGGTTGTGGGGTGGGGGGATGCAGGGGATCGCCGGAGATTCTCACCGGTGGTGCAGGACTTTGAGGGATGGCTGGGGCGGTTGCCAGCAACGGCGGTGGGGAAAGGTTGAGGGAAAGGCGGGGCAGCGAGGCGGTGCGCGGTAGCATCCGCTGACCGCGGGGGTGGGGACAGACGGATGGGGCGGGGTAGGCCGGCGGTTGCAGAAAAAGGATGGATCGGATCGTGGCTTGAGGAGGAAGACGGTTGGGAGGAAGAACGTGGCATGTGAGTGGTTAGATGCATATCAGACAGACAAAAAACTAAGTTACTGATGAAACTTTTCTTCTGGCACCTGTCTCCTTTATAGCTAGTACTATTATACTAGTACTTCCTCCGTCCAGAAATAAGTCTACATTTGGCATTTAAAATTTATCCACAAAAAAGTGTAGTTTTATCTTCTCAATGCACTTTAAAATAGAAAAAAATATTTCCCTCTCATCACACGATAATCAAGACCAATAACATTCAACACATGGTCTTCTCACTTTTTAAATGCACTTAACTCATTGAAGGTGGGCTAATTAGAGAGCAGAGAGATGATGACTTGCACATTTCCAATGTATTTTTCACTCCACTGCATAATATGTCCTAAAATTTCTATATGTACACTTACTTGTGGACGGAGGGAGTAGTGTATATATGATACCCCACAAAAAAGTAGTGTATATATGATAATGATAGCAAGATCTCCTTCATGGTCGGTAAATCTACAGTGTGTGCTTATAAATTAAATGTCGATGATTTAATTATACAAGGTTGCCTTGTGTTCCTAATTAATTTGCCTGGCAAGCTTAATTAGGTTCTCCATGGTGGCAGAGCTCATGTCAGTGTGCTGGCTGAGCATCTCTGGCCACATCAGCACCAAGGAGCTCTCTCCGGGCACACACTACGCGGCCTACCTCGTCTTCAAGCTCACTCACGACGCCTCCGGCCTCGCCTCCCCACAGCAGCGATCGGTCCTCTCCGTAGGCGGCCGGCAGAGCTCGACGCACACGGCGTCCCTCCATCCTTGCAACCGGACCGATTCTTCCTGTACCGGCGAAATGGCTGACGGGGAGCCACATGACCACGAGCGAGATGATGGTGTCGTCGTCAGGTACCCGGGGCCACGGGTGGACGGGTGGTTGGAGCTGGAGATGGGCGACTTCCACACAGGTGATAGTGATGACGAGGCTACGGCTGCAGAAGATGTTGACATGATACTCCATGAGTGTGAGGAGCTGCAGTGGAAGAAGGGGCTAATCATCGAAGGCATCGAGATCAGGCCCAAGAAAATTAATTGATTGATTTGCCGTCAGCATGTATGCTCAAATATAAGGTGAACGAAATAAACATTGTTTGGCAATCCCCATCTTGGCGTATTCACTGCCATGCTATAAAAGGTACGTAGATAGAAAGCGTTAGTTTAACCTCTAAGTCATGTTATGCCCCCCCCCCAAACAAAACAAACTGACCCTTTACCTTAACTAGTTAACTAAAAATATGTCATCTTGAGAAACCACAGTTGAAGCAAAATAGCATGTTTTGATGACAATCTCTAACAAACTAGTTGACACGTTGTTATTCAACTGCAAAATTGTGATGAGAGAAATATGTGTACTTGTACATATGATAAGATGGCAATAGGGATCAGTTAGAAGTTATTAATTGCTTAACTTTAATTTTGTTAAAGGTATACGCTATTGTAATACCTTTTCTCACATATAGAAATTAGTCTTGATGCAGTAGTGTGGATTGCGCGACCGTGAAAAAGGGACATGTTGTTTGTATACTTCTCCTAAATCTTCTATATCTAAATAGCTAGCCCCCACTAATATATTTCTCTCAACATACAAGCATGCCACCTCATCATTCAACATGCATAGGAAAAGGCCAACCTCAACATGCAACTATGCATATTAAAAATCCACTTCAACGTGCAAACATGCATGCATGTAAAATTCCATTCTATTATGGTATTACATCTAATTCTTATATACTTTCAAAAATAATTATTTCAAATATTCACGTATCATATAACCAAAATCTCATTGAAATAATTCAAAATATTCCCGCAACAACGTGCGGGCCATCATCTAATAACTACAAAGTGGATAACATTATTCACATCAACTGAAACATTAATGTTAATGAAAAATATCATAATAACCTCGGATTACCTGGCCCGGTAACTTGAGAATCAATAATGCTAAAAAAATTGGTGAGCAGCCACTTAGTATAAACAATCTTACAACGGACAAATTAATGACCCTAGACGGTTGAATGCCAATATTTAATTTTCTTTCCTTGCTGAATCTAGAAGAGATAAAAATGAACATGCCCTAAACAAACGCAAAGTATGATGCCATGTGAGCCATGTGTCGGATCACCTACCGTACTGCATGCCTATCTCGAGAAGGGTTGGCGAGCTGTGGATGCACATGGGGTGGTGGTGGATATTAGATTGTCTCATATTTTACAGAAGGCGAAGGGGAATCTAACATATAAACCCTCAAGAAGTGCTAGGCACAACCATCGCTCGAGCGCACCGCATCACGCGACGAGTAAAATCCACCGAAAAAACACGCGGGCGCACCACACCACACGAGCGAAATCCACAGCGAGCGAGCGAGCGGTCGTGCTAGGGCCACAGTGATCGAGCAAGAGGAAAAAGCAATCGAACCCTAGCCCCAATCCACAGCCCCGCGCCCCTCACTCCTCCCTCCCTCGTCCGCCGCCACTCCCTCCCACCTCCTCCTCCTACGCCCTAGGAGCCCCGCCGCCTACTGCTACTCCTCCACCGCCTCGCCTCTTCCTCCTCCTTACCTTCCCATCGCTCGTCTTTAGGCTGCAGCAGTGGTTCCCGATCTGAGCCGTCTTCAGGTGCGTGGAGCGACGGAGGTCGGCTCCCTCCTTCTCCACGGTCGCGCGGCGGGAGAGGAGTCAGCCCCGGTGCTCTGCCTCTCCATCCGTCTCCGCAAGCCATCGTCCGATGCCGTCGTTGCCCGCCATCATCTTGCTCGCTGCGTGCTTGCTAGAGAGCCATGGCTTTCCTCGCTGTAGGTTCTGCCATGGCTTTTCTTGGGCCAGTTCTTTTAGGCGATTCTCCCAGAATCGCCCCCTCCCCAGCTTCTCCTAGAATCGTCACTTCATATTTTTTTTACAATCCTAGCTAATTAGACCTTAACTAGATAGGATTGTAAAT